CCGTACGTGCAATAATACAGAAATGTATTATTCCACGTAGAAATGTATAACTTATTTTAGGGCTAAACCTAATCAATCGGAAGCCTTAATGGGCTCATTACCGGCTAGCCGAGTTAACGTTTCTCGACCTTTCTCTCGTTGCGACGTAGACTATGCCAGGCCGCTCTTATGTGAGGGAAAGCGTCGAAATGCGCGGAGTCACAAGGCGTACGTTTCACTTTTTGTGCTTCGCCACGAAGGCGGTCCATCTAGAGTTAGTAAGTGATCTTACGTCCGAAGCCTTTATTGCCGCTTTTAAGCGTTTCATTTCGCGTAGGGGTAGACCCGCTCACATATAAGGTGTAGTAAAAAGAAATCCATTATTTTTGCATGAAATTGAAGGCTTTATTTAATATAGTTAGAATGATCCGATTTAGGTCAAATGTGCACCGTTTTGTTCGATAATTTGTTGCCATTTTGAAAGTAATTCCATTATGCCTCTCTCATAGAAACCCTCATCCCTATTGGCAAAAAACTGGGACAGCCGATTTTCACAAGCTTCTTGAGGCGAATTTTTCACCAGCAAAATTATTCGCCATAGACAGGAACAGGTGGTAATCACTTGGAGCCAGGTCTGGACTATAAGGTGGATGCATAAGAATCTCCCAACCAAGCTCCCGGAGCTTCTGGCAAGTCATTATCGATTTGTGTGGCCTTGCGTTGTCCTGATGGAACACAATTCCTCTCCTATTGCCCAACGCTGGCCGCTTCTGGGCGATTGCTTTCTTCAGACGGTCCAATTGTTGACAGTACAGTCCGAATTAAGAGTTTGGCCGTAGGGGAGTAGCTCATAGTAGATGATTTCCTGCCAATCCCATCAATCCCATCAACACACAGCAAAACCTTCCTGGCCGTCAATCCTGGCTTGGCCACCGTTTGCGCCGGCTCACCGCAATTTGACAGTTTTCGCTTGACATTGTCGTAAGTGACCCACTTTTCATCACCAGTCACTATCCGCTTCAGAAATGGGTCGATTTTGTTGCGATTCAGCTGCGATTCGCAGATGGAAATTCAGTCCATGAGGTTTTTTTTGCGTTAATTCGATGTATGGCACCCATACATCGAGCTTCTTTTTGTATTTAGCCTTATTCAACTGGTTCCAAATGGTTTTTTGTGCAATGTTTAGCTCCTGGGCAATCGAAACAGTGCTTACATGACGGTCGGACTCGACGATTTCCATTATTTTATCGTCTTTTTCGATAATTAGCCTTCCAGAGCGTGGTGCATCTTTGACATCAAAATTACCGGAATCGACGAATTGCGCGTGATTGGCTTACAGTATCAGAACCATAAACACTATTCACATTTTCAGTCGCCTGGCTTGCGTTTTCACCTTTATCGAAGAAAAACTGTAAAATATAGCGTATTTTCTCTTTGCTGGTGTCCATCTTTGACGCGCACTCAAACAATACTGAGTCAAGCAATCACAAAACTGTCTGAGAAGTTTTTTTAGTACGAAATCTTATCTTTCTAACGCCATCTAGCGTAACCATCTAGCGATCTTATACAACGCGAGATGCAGATTACTAAAGCCATCTATTGGAAAAATAATGGATTTCTTTTTATTACACCTTATATATTCAAACAACGGGACCACCTTTGTGGGCGCGCATAAACAAATTCAAGAATTATATGACATGTACAATGATCCACAAGTCTAGTCCGAGATTAAAAATTCTCTTCGCGAATTAGAAGTTTCTTGGAGCTTCATCCCGCCTAATGCACCTCACTTTGGAGGTTTATGGAAGGCAGCCGTAAAATCTGCAATACCACATAACTCGGATCGTGGGCAAGGCTCATTTGACCTTTGAAAAAATGCAAACGGTCCTCTGTGAAATTGAGGCGATCCTCAATTCGCGTCCCCTCTTACCATTAAGCGCCGACCCTAACCTAGCGTATCTAAGTCCGGGATATTTATTAGTTGGCACGACTTTAAATAATCTTCCTTGTGTTGACTTGAGCAACGTTAACGAAAATAGATTACTACGGTGGCAACGCGTAGAGCAAATCCGGCAGCATTTTTGATGCAGGTGGAGTAATGAATATCTTGATTCCCTACAAGCTCGAACCAAATGGATGGCTAACAAGGGAACTCAGTGATCGACAAAGCAACTTGTGCTCATAAGGCAGCCGAATCTAGCTCCGCTTCAGTGGGCAATGAGGCGGGAGATTCATCCTGGTCCCGACAGCATCGCGCGCACCGCAACTGTCAAGACTGCCAAGGGTTCCTACGTAAAGCCACTGTCTAAACTATCAATATTACCAATTTAAACGTCGATGCGTTATCAAACATTTAGTTTTAAGTGTCTTTAGCTATTATCTTCTGATTATATTGTATCGCAGGCCTCCTTTCATTAAGAATGCCTTATTATATTATTTTTCACTTATTATATCGCTTGCGTACTTAGATGTTAATACACGTTGATTTTCAGTGCAATGACTAAATGTGATATTAAATCGTATCAGATAATTCGCGTTTCATGTTACGCCAACGAACTCATGCTTGTATGTCACATTGAAAGTCAATCCTTTCAAGGCGAGCGGCGTGTTCCGTATCTGTATGATTCACGACGTCTATAATATATTTATGATTCAAAGTATTATATAAAGTCCATCGCTGGCCACTACTTTCTCCGATCTTTCGGGTAGCTTACGAATCCCGCGTCGAAAAAACTGGTCATCTTTTGAGGCTATCCACGAATCGATTCAATTTTTTACTTCTTCATAAGACCGGAAGTGCTGGTCAGCCAGGCTGTGTGCCATTGATCGAAACAAGTGATAGTCAGAGAGAGCAACGTCTGGAGAATATGGCGGGTGGGGTAGGACTTTCCATTTCAACGTTTCCAAGTATGTCTTGACCACTTTCGCAACATGGGATCGAGCATTGTCATGCTGCAAAATCACTTTATCGTGTCTCTCGTTGTATTGCGGTCGTTTGTCTTTCAATGCTCGGCTCAAACGCATCAATTGCGTTCGATACCGATCGCCTGTGATTGTTTCAGTCGGTTTTAACAGTTCATAATACACTACGCCGAGCTGGTCCCACCAAATACAAAGCATGACCTTGGAGCCGTGAATATTAGGTTTGGCCGTCGACGTGGAAGCATGGCCGGGAATTCCCCATGATTTTCTGCGCTTGGGATTATCGTAATGAACCCATTTTTCGTCCCCAGTCACAATGCGATGCAGAAATCCCTTCCGTCTTTGCCTTTCAAGCAGCTCACAAGCAAACAAACGCGTTCAACATCTCTCGGCTTCAATTCGTATTTCCACCCAATTTCCTTGCTTCTGAATCATTCCCATGGCTTTGAGGCGTTTTGAAATGGCTTGTTGAGTCACTCCCAATGATCGTGCCAATTCTTCTTGATTTTGACACGAGTCTTGCTCAAGTAATGCCTCCAATTCTGCATCTTCGAAAACCTTCTCTCTTCCACCGCTATGCCGGTCTTCGACGTCAAAATCACCGTTCTTGAAGCGTTGAAACCACTCACGACACGTTCTTTCACTAATAGCGGCCTCACCATAAATATTTGAGAGCATTCGATGAGCCTCAGCCGCAGATTTCTTCATATTGAAGCAAAAATTAAAACCTCCACAAATGACGAGAATTTGGCTTATAAACTGACATTTTCAATCGAGAATAACTTTATGATGCAGACACAAATCGACTAATGTTTCTAT